TGTTCTATCACTGAACCTACCATACCAGATTGGTTTTTGGACACTGGTGCTTCGGCCCAAATTAAAGACAGATGCGAAATTCATAGGAGATAGAAATGGAAAGAGACTGGTAAATAAAGAAATATTTATTTCAATAAGAAAATAAATACTTACAACACTAGAACTAATGGTCTAGTGGGAATAAGCGGTAATTAAAAGGGAGATAGAGCTCTTCTTTTGCATCATTGAAGAAGGCTTTACAAGTGAGGGGTAGGTTTACAAGTATTAGTGGCTTGTAATGTTATTTNTTGAACCTACCATACCAGATTGGTTTTTGGACACTGGTGCTTCAGCCCATATGTCCAATGACCCATCTAATTTGGATCAGTCTTCTCAGTACAATGGTAAGGATTTTGTAATTGTGGGAAATGGTGTCTCTTTACCCATTACGTATACTGGTACCCTCTCCCCTGCTCCTAACATTCAATTATTAAATGTCTTGGTTGTACCTCATCTCACAAAAAATTTACTCTCTATTAGTAACTTAACTTCTGATTTTCCCTTATCTATCACTTTTACTAATGATTGTTTTTCTATCCAGCATCATCCAACGGGAAGGTGGTAGCAACTGGAAAAAGAGATGGCGGCCTATATATGCTAGAGCGTAGTCACTCTGCTCTCCTTTCTGCGCTTAAAATAAATCTTTACATGTTTCTATGAATTATGACATGCTCGCCTTAGACATGTAAACCACTATGTTATTTCTCATTTGAATAAAAAAAGACATCTTTATCTTACATCTTTATTGCCTTCTCCTACTTTATGCAATACATGTCAAATTGCAAAAAATCATCGCTTGCCTTATACACAAAATGAACATCGGTCTTCCCAGGTTTTAGATCTTATTCATTGTGACATATGGGGACCTTCTCCTATTAAATATAACTCGGGTTTTAGCTATTATGTTCTTTTTATCGATGATTACTCCCGTTTTACTTGACTTTATCCCTTCAAATTCAAATTTGACTTTTACAATATCTTTACACAATTTCAAAAATTTGTGGAAACTCAATTCTTAGCTCGTATTAAAATTTTTCAAAGTGATGGCAATGACGAATTTACTAGCACCTGCTTTCAAACCCATCTTCGTTCCTCTAGCATCCACCATCAGCTTTCCTGTCCCTATACACCTGCCCAAAATGGTCGTGCTGAACGCAAACACCGCCGCATGATTGAGACCGGTCTCGCACTTTTTTTTCATTCTCATATGTCTCATCGCTTCTAGGTTGACGCCTTTAGCACTGCGGCATACATCATCAATTGTTTGCCAACACCACTTCTTGGAGGTAAGTCCCTGTTTGAGCTTTGTATGGTTCTCCTCCCAATTATGAACATTTTCATCCTTTTGGTTGTCGTGTTTTCCCTTGTTTACGTGATTATATGCCTAACAAATTTTCCCCACATAGTATTCCTTGCATTTTTTTGGGATACAGTCCCTCTTATAAAGGATTTCATTGCTTTGACCCTATCACCTCCAGGCTCTATATCACCCGACATGCCCAATTTGATGAACACCATTTTCCTTTCCTCGATAACTCTCCGACTCAACCCCTTTCTTCTCTAAGTTTTTCCAACTTCCTGGAATCTACTCCTCATTCCCTGTCTGCGACACCATCTACTCCGTCTATTACTCAATCCGGATTTAATCCATGTACTATCTGTACTGACCCGGTGAATGAGTATTTGCAAGCTACTGATTCTTTTGCAAGTTCTACTTCACCACCTTGGGCTTCTAGCCCACCTCCCCTTGAGGCACAGACAGCTCCTCTTGTTCCTACCATCTTTCTCGACTCTCATCATATGGTAACCAGAGCTAAAGCTGGTAATTTCAAGACTCGTCATCCAGTGAATCTTGGTATCTTGGGCTCCTCTAGACTTCTTTCTGCTCTTCTTGCCTTCACTGAGCCTAAAGGATTCAAATCTGTTGCTAAGAATCCTGTTTGGCTTGCTGCTATGGATGAAGAAGTTCAAGCTCTGCAACACAATCGCACCTGGACCTTGGTCCCACGACCTGCAAATACTAACATTGTGGGCTCCAAATGGGTGTTCCAGACCAAATATCTACCTAATGGTACCGTTGAACAACTCAAAGCTCGCCTTGTTGCCAAAGGTTATACCCGGGTTCCCGGTCTTGACTACACCGACACTGTCAGTCCTGTCATCAAGGCCACTACTGTTCGTGTTGTTCTTTCTCTTGTTGTCACCAACAATGGCCTCTTTGCCAACTTGACGTCAAGAACGCATTCCTTAATGGCACTCTCACTGGAAATGTTTATATGGAACAGCCACCTGGGTACATTGATCCTCACTTCCCTAATCATGTCTGTCTGTTGAAGAAAGCTCTCTATGGCCTCAAGCAAGCTCCTCGTGCCTGGTTCCAGCGTTTCAGCTCTTTCCTCATTCAAATTGGTTTTTCCTGCAGTCGAGCTGATACTTCTCTATTTGTCTTTCATTAGCACACTAATATTATATATTTGCTACTTTATGTTGATGACATTATTGTTACTGGCAACAACTCATCTCTTCTTGACAACTTTACTCTCAAACTCAATTCTGAATTTGCCACTAAAGATTTAGGCTCTCTCAGCTATTTTCTTGGTCTTGAAGCCTCGCCAGCTGCTGATGGTCTTTTCCTCAATCAGCTAAAATATGCCCGAGACATTCTTACTCGCGCTCAATTACTTGACAGCAAACCTGTCCATACTCCCATGATTGTCTCTCAACACATTGTCTGCTGCTGGACCTCTGTTTTCAGATCCTACTCTTTACAGGTGTCTTGTTGGTGCACTTCAGTACCTGACCATCACACGCCCTGACATTGCTCATGTTGTCAACTCGGTTAGTCAATTTCTGCATGTTCCAACTGAGGATCACTGAATTGTTGTTAAGCATATTCTCCGCTATGTCAAGGGCACTCTCCATTTTGGTCTTTTATTTTGCCCCTCTACTACTTCTAGTATTCTGGTTGCTTATTCTGATGTTGATTGAGTTGGTTGTCCAGACACTCGCTGCTCTACTTCTGGTTACTCTATTTATCTTGGTGAAAATTTGGTCTCTTAGAGTGCTAAAAAGTAACCCACTATTTCTCATTCCAGTTGTGACTTTGAGTATCATGGTCTTGCAAACACCGCTGCTGAATTTCTTTGGCTTACACATCTCCTTTGCGACCTCCAGGTTCCCATTCCCCAAAAGCCACTTCTCTTATGTGATAATAAAAGTGCAATTTTTTTGAGCTCCAATCCTGTTTCTCACAAGCGCGCCAAGCATATGGAGTTAGACTATCACTTTCTTTGTGAACTTGTTGTTGCCGAAAAACTTCATACGCAATATGTGCCATCACATCTACAAGTTCCTCAACCTCTTTTTGAATTTTTTTGACCAAAGCTTCACGTTCGTTCAAATCTGATGCTCAGCTTGTGGGGGGGTGTTAAGGATACGATTGAGGATCTCTTGCCTAAACCAAAGACTTGCCAAACATGACTCATTAACCCTTGATTCTAGGCCTTTTTGTATATATTTTCCTCTAATTATTCTGTAATTGATTTTTGAATATTCTATCATTAATTTGTAACAATCTCAAGAGATTATAAATAAACATACCTCACCACCGATTGATGTGTGGTGCTTCCATAAACCTTCTCAAGGTTGACATAGAAAATCAATTAATTGACTTTATGAGTAGTATGGAAACTAACAAAATATATCTCGGTCCATCATAAAACAAAGAAAATAGCTTTTAATATCTTAACTAAGTCCATATCTCAAGCATTATCTAGAGAGAGCGAGAGACATCTACAAGATGCATGATTTACCAAAACCATAAAATAATCAACCCAAATTATCAAAACAACTCAATTTATGTATATAACAAAAGTCAACAAAGAAAGAGAAATAAATTAATAGAAATAGGCTCCAATGAAGCATATTACCTTTACAATGGTCTTAAACACCTTAACAATGAAAGAAGCCGCGGTGAGACTAACGGAAGCTATACATTATTTTCAAAAGCATATATATATATATATATATANGTCACTTGCTTGCGTATCAAAACAACACAACTAAAACACATACAAATATATTTAAGGTATTGGGAAGATTAAAAGGGTTCTTCATTTCACTCAATACTTCACGTTTTAGAATCTTATTGGCTTTTTTGTATGTAAACAAAATAGATCCAGATATAAAAAAGCACCATCCTATACCCAAATTTTATCACACGAAAGCCTCCTCCAAAACATCAAGAAGCAATAGAAAAAATGAATTAATTTTTTGGCATTTCTCAGTCAAAAAAATTAATAAATCAAAATTACATACACAAATACATGGGAAAAGTTGGGGTTTTCAATCCAACAACGAATGGATCAATTTTATACACAACATATAATTGCGGGAGAGAGATTGCATATGATATAAGAAGTTGTACCAACGATATAAGGGCGATGTCGGTGCTGGAAAGGTCTTTTTGTTTGAATGAAGGGTACAATTGGTGTTGCCACGGACTCCGCTCATACAAAAACCCTTCCTTCGTCTTCTCTCACTATTCATATCACAAACTAAAATCATATCCCTTAACAAATTCTCAAAAACTTGAACGCTAGAGAAAAATAATTGGGTAAAAAAAAACTTGTACCATAAGAATTGCAAACTTATCAGCATTCTCTCCAGTAAAGGTTTCCTATTCTTGCTAAACTACTCTTTGTCATCTTCTTATCTGGCTCTTCTTATTCTATTAGAAAGTTTCTATAAAACACTTGAAAAATAGAAAGACTATTAATTTGAAAGGCCCTAAATAGCCCATTAAGTTCCCTGAGGGTATCAAACACTGTTACTTGTAACGTCAATTTTTTAGAAGATCAAATAAGATGATTAATTAGAATATAAAGATTTGGTACATTGAATGGAAATAGAATCCATAAAGTCTAATACTTAAAAATTGTGAGTAACTTTTAAAAGCACTAATGTCAGAATTTGTAGGGCCCAACAACATGAATAATCTGTATTGGATGAAGGATAAGATTGGTTTTGTAAGATAAATAATGGTTAAATTTGAAAATTAAAAGTTTTTCACTTTTAGGTACTTTTAGAAGTAGTATAGATAATAGTTGGTTTCTAATTTAGTACTGAATATTTGGTGTAACCTTCAAATAATTTATATAATAAAGTAGTTAAATTTCTTTGTTTTTAGTTTTTTACGACTCAAATCAGTTATGAGTTATGAAATTAACAAATCAAATTGATCTCCAAAATTTTTTCCTGCCCATATATGAGTAATGTTGTATGAATTTAAAAACTAGACTTGATAGGAACCATTGATATTACCATAAGTCTCAGCATTTATAGGGATCCACTCTCTATTCAATTATTGTAATTATCTAGCCTATTTAGAGGAGGCCTTTGATTTTGAAAAAGTGGCAGTTTGATGTTGTCATTTCAAAGGAAGATCACTCTTCCATCCCACTTTGGATTAAGCTTTATAACATTCCTTTCCAAATTTGGACAGATAAGGGGTTGAGCTACATAGCTAGTGCAGTTGGTAGACCCCTCTATGCTGATTCGCTAACCTCTACATTTGTGTTGAAGTTAGTGCAAAGGAAGAACTTAGGGGGTAAGGAAGCTCCGCATACAATAAGTGTTGGAGTAAAGTATCAATGGAAGCCAAGGGCTTGCCATCACTGCCAAATATTTGGTCACTTTGACTCCCCATGTCCCTCATTTGCAACTCAGATTAATACTCCAACTACTGCTAATCTAGATGCATCAATTTCTAATAAGCATCTGGAGTCATTTCCAACAGTGGTTGATAAAGGAAAAGCTATTATGGTTGATTCTCCATCTCAAACCCATATGGGTGTTGATGTCAATGGTACCACTGGTCTTCAACCAGCAGCTCTACAGCATGAATCTTAGGTGACTGTTGTATACCCCCCTTTTCAATCCCCCAGTCTGAATTACTTACTAGTACTACTAGCAATAATAGATTCAATTGTCCTATTGAGGAGGGTGGCAATTTGATTGAGGATATTAGTCCAAAACCTACCATGTTCCCTCCACCCAATGCTCATAAACCTTCTCCAAGTCTTGAGAACCTTGCAAACTCTATGTTTGCTTTGACTAATAGCAAAGCATCTCAAAGGAAAAAGAAAAAATCTAAGAGAAAATCACATAGCAATGGGGAGGGGTAGAAAGGCTGAGTGCCTTAGGCTCAGCAAAACTCTTCTTGCTTGATGATTGCTATTTCCTGCTCTAATATTAGAGGACTAAATGACTCCTCTAAGAAGGAAGAAATAAAGAAGCTTGTTAGGGGCCAATGTCTTGACTTAATGAGCATTATTGAAACCAAGGTAAGATTGGTAAACTAAAACATAACTATGGAGAATTTGTTTAGAACTTAGAATACTCTTGATAATTACTTGAGTCACCCTTATGGGAGAATATGAATTGCCTAAAATCCTGACTCCCTTCATGTTAGAAGGATGTTTGAATCTGACCAAGCTGTTCATTGCCATGTTCAACAACTGGGTAGTCAGCTTAACTTTTATTTAACTTTTGTGTATGCTCATAATGAAGGGATTGAAAGAAGAAGGCTATGGCATGCCCTTACTACCCATGCTAGTCTTCATAATAATGATCCCTGGATCTTCATGGGTGACTTCAATGTCATTAGAAACCCTAAAGAATCGTGTGGATGCTTTGGATATTGGACTAAAGATATGGTGGAGTTTTAGGATTGCATTCAGAGTTCTGAGCTGGACGACCTCAAGTTTTCAAGTATCTTTCATTCTTGGTNCTGGACTAAAGATATGGTGGAGTTTTAGGATTGCATTCAGAGTTCTGAGCTGGACGACCTCAAGTTTTCAGGTATCTTTCATTCTTGGTGCAATAATAGGCATCGTTGTAGTTGCATCTTAAGAAAACTTGATAGAGCTCTTGCTAATCAGAGATGAAATTCTTCTTTCCACCAATCTGAAGCTGAATTCTTACCTTTAGACCTTGTGGCTGCTTCTTGGTGTGAACCTATCCATGGCTCTCATCAGTTTAAAGTTTTTAAGAAGCTTAAACGGCTCAAAAGTATCTTCAAAACTATTTGTAGAGAAAAAAGGGTCAATCTCTGATTTGGTTGTTAAAACCAAGGCTGACCTTGATGTTTGCCTAAAAAGCATTGATACCAACCCTAATGACCACCTAAGAGGGAGGAGAGAAAGATTCTCTCAGCTGAATACCTTGCTGCTTCCAAGGCTAAGGAGTTAATGTATAAACGGAAATCTAGGATTCTTTGGCTCAAAGAGGATGACCAAAACACTAGATTCTTCTTTAAATCCATGACCAATAGGAGAAATAAGAAGAAAATAATTTCTATTAACAATGATAATGGTCTTGTTGTTGAAGGGAACCAAGAGGTTAAGAGAGTTGATATTGATCATTTCATAAATCTCTTTAGTCACTCCTGCAATTTGGTATCTAATATGGGTAGAAGATCTCTGTTGGAGTCTATTGTTCACAACAAAGTGACTGATGCACAGGCTTCTAGTATGTCTAGGCTGTTTACTAATGAAAAAATCAAATCAGTTTTTTTCTCTATGGATAATTTCAAATCCCCTGGACCTGATGGATACAATGCCTATTTTTTCAAGAAAGCTTGGCCTGTTATAAGGAATGATGTCATCAATGCTATTAAGGAATTCTTTGCAATTGGTAAACTTCTTAAGGAAATGAATGCAACCATCATTGCTCTAGCCCCCCAAGTGCCCCAATCCTTCCTCTATGAATGAGTTCAGACCTATTGCCTGCTACAATACTATTTATAAAGCCATCTCAAAACTGTTGGCGTCTAGAACTAAAAAAATCCTCCCAAACCTTATCAACCAGTCCTAATCTACCTGCATCCCTGGTAGAAGGATAGGTGATAACATCTTGGCTCAAGAGTTTCTAAGGGACTACCACAAAAACAAGGGATCTCCTAGATGTGCTATTAAAGTTGACTTAAAGAAGGCTTTTGANAAATGGAAATAGTACCAGTGTTTGGTCTGATAACTGTCATAAATTTGGGCCTCTTTCTCTTGTCTGCAGCTTAGAGGATAATCGTGGGGAAAATTTGCTAAGAATCCTCATGGTTAATTGCATTATCTCCAATAATAGATGGCAATGGTCTGCTTGTTCTNGGCATTTTATGAGACCTCTTATGGTTCATATCATTGGAAATGGAAATAGTACCAGTGTTTGGTCTGATAACTGTCATAAATTTGGGCCTCTTCTCTTGTCTGCAGCTTAGAGGATAATCGTGGGGAAAATTTGCTAAGAATCTGCATGGTTAATTGCATTATCTCCAATAATAGATGGCAATGGTCTGCTTGTTCTTCTTTTGTTACTCAAGAAACCATCAACAATCTTCCTACTTATCAATTGGATTCAAGGAGGGAGGATGTGGTGAAGTGGTCTCCAACTACTAATTCTAAATTTACTTCCAAATCTGCATGGGAGGCTACTAGAAGTAAATACCCTCTGATTATTTGGCATAAACTGGTTTGGAATAGCAAATCTGTTCTCAGATACAACTTCATTCTCTGGCTTGCTATTGGATGCAAACTTAACGCCCCGGNGTGAAGTGGTCTCCAACTACTAATTCTAAATTTACTTCCAAATCTGCATGGGAGGCTACTAGAAGTAAATACCCTCTGATTATTTGGCATAAACTAGTTTGGAATAGCAAATCTGTTCTCAGATACAACTTCATTCTCTGGCTTGCTATTGGATGCAAACTTAATGCCCCAGATAGAATGCAATCCTACGCAGCTCATCTTGGAACTGAATGCATCCTCTGTAGAGATGCTGATGAATCTCACCATCACCTATTCTTTGGGTGTTTCTTCTCTGATGGGATTTGGAATTCTATTTTGGCCAACTCAGGTATCAATCTTCAACGTAGACCCTGGAACGAGCTAATTGAATGGACTACTTCTAATTGGATTGAAAAATCAATGCTAAATGTTCTTCTTAGATTAAGCCTTGCTGCCACTCTTTATCAGTTATTGATGGAGAGAAACAACAGAAGATTCAAAGTTCTCTTCAGGGATGCTAATTCTGTCTCCAAAGCTATTCAAATGGCCATTAGAAGCAAAATGGCTTCCCTCAAATTCAAACTCTGTGATGTGAATAGGCAGCTAGTTCACCGGTGGGGATTGTTGGATTGTCTTCAATGACTCTTCTTCCTCCCTTCTTGCCTCTCTATGCAGGATTCATCTAGAAGTGTTTATTCTTTTTTCACTTCCCTTTGAATGTTGCTTGGCCTTTCTCTATTTTTTGAGGAGTGATTTCCTTGTTTGTACTTTGTACATTTTCTTTGTCTCAATGTAAATTTTACTTTCCAAAAAAAAAAAAACAACCATTGTGCCTCTCAACCCACACTTTTGCAACCATGACTCTCATCTGCATTTCACACGAGATTTGAATCATGGCACTTGTACACAACTCATACGAGATCTAATCCATGGCTCTCGTCTACATTTCACACCAGATTTCTCCCACCGATTATTTGTTGTTCCACGGTTGCTTACAAGTCCGTCGGAAGAACTAGAATCACAATTTTTTTTTTATTGTGCCAACTTCCTCTCCCTTTCATAAGCAATACATTTCTTTGCTCCTACTCCATCCCCATAGATTATTTCTATATTTTTCATCCTGAAAATATATTGAATACGTCTTCTGCTTTTTCTTTTCCATCAATATGACTGTGGGTTTGTATGAATAGATATTTAGCTTCTAAAACTACTGTTATGTGGGCAATGGACAAATTAGGAGTGTGTATGACCCATTATGACTCTGTGTGTGCTTGGAGTACATTGCTTGGAATTGGTATGCTTGGAGTACATTATTTAGATGTTATACATAATGCTTCGAACTTTAGAATTATCTTTTATTAATTATCATCAATAAAGATTGCACGAACTTAATTTTTAAAATTTTAAGTTTTACGCCAGCGTATAATCTCATATGGACAGATCTAAAACTTATTGATCTAATAATTTATCGAAGTATTTTTTTTATAGTATTTTCTTATTTTTCAGCTTGTTCATGCTTCATTTTTCAAACTTTGCAGTGTCTCTGTCTTTCAAATATTTTTTTTCAAACACAAAAAAGGTAAGTTCAGCATGTAATTGCATTTGAGTTGTATATGTTTACATAAGATTTGATGATCATCTAAGGACTGGGTTTAGGTTGAAATCATTTTTTGTGTTACACCTGTGCTTAATTTTTTTTTCCCCAACTCAAATGTGCAGAAAAAAAATAAAGTTTGCAAGCAACTAGGGCATGAATCCATGTCCTTTGTTTGCAAACCCGTAGAAGAGTTGGTTGAAAGTGTGGTTTCGTCTACGAGTGGTATTCCAGATAAAGACATAGAGGTTATCATCCTTGACGATTAACCTGTTTGGTTATTAGTAGTCTTGTGTATATGTTTCTTGTAAGTCATTTTATTTTTTTGGGTATGAATGTTTGTGGTAATACAAAAATTATAAGTTATCGTGTATGATAGGCTTGTCTAAATTGGGTATCGTGTTGCTGTCATTTTGTCTGATCTTTTAAAGGCAACACCTTATTGTATAAATCATATTATAATGTAATTAGTTATTGTTGATTATTTGAAGGATGCATTGCATCCTTCACAGGCACGTCTAAAACCTAGTTAGATGATTTGTTCATGGTGGAGTGCCTTTGTATTTTATACTGATCAGTTGATTATTGCTTGGAATGAATAGATCGAGATAACATGTTTGGAATTAAATTTGAAAAAAAAAATGTAATTTCAGTCCATTTCCTTCGCAACATAAGTGTTCGTATCAACAAACAAGAATATGGATTAGATTGCATTAAGGTTAAAATTGTCTTTTTATATGGAAGATATTACTTGATACGTTATTGAACCAAAGACCCGTTAGTTTTTTTAATATCACATATAACCTCTTAAATAAACCCATCTTTTTTGTGTGTTTAAATAATCCAATTGGAATGTATTTGGCCAAACGATAATTTTACCTTCAAGTATTTCTAGAATATAAATATCACTCTTTATCCAGATGGTTCTTTAGTAACTTAATACTCGAACCAAACATAGAATGAAGATACATTATCACTATAATTAATCTAAAGGTCAGATGAATGGTAAGAGATGGGCAACACTTTCTAATCCGGCCCTTTTGAATACTTAAACCAAATACACCCTTGGCAACTTATCCATGTGATGCACGAACTTTCAATCTCTCTCCACCATCACTCCGCCATTACTAAGTAGTGTGATACGTAGATTTTAAAAAATTTGAATATAAAAAATGATTAATAAAGATAAATGTGAGCTTACGATTTAATCTATTTATTAAAAAAACACTGTCCTCAGCAGGAAAAAAATAAAAACAAACAAAATGTTGTCATTTGATATCGTTCCTCCAATGTGAAGATCTAGAATTAATCCTAAAGCTTAGAATTAATTCTATATAACTTAATCGAAATCAAATTATAATTAACTTTTATTGATGTATAAGTAATTATCGTATTTGTAATTATTCCCTAAAATTGTCATCAAACTTTGCCAATGAATTAAATATGGAACGGATAGAAGTGTACAAACCACATTACAGAATTAAATATATGAATTGTTGGGTTTGAATTTAAATACACTCTTTCTTTGGTCATACAGAATCTGCGCATAAACACATTAAATCAATTTCTTTCAACCACCGAGGCCAGTGTTGTAACACGTGGGACCTAGAGAATGTGGATTGCCCCCACGAAATGTAGAAGCAAAAGCAAAGTTGCTCTCTCTCTCTCTCTCTCTCTCTCTCTCTCTCTCTCTCTCTCTCTCTCTCTCTCTCTCTCTCTCGTGTAATCGTTACGCTATGNGCTCTCTCTCTCTCTCTCTCTCTCTCTCTCTCTCTCTCTCTCTCTCTCTCTCTCTCTCTCTCTCTCTCTCTCTCTCTCACTATTGAGTGTAATCGTTACACTATGTTAGTATTGTGTATATCTATAATATAAAATAGGTCATACTTAAATAAGTTCANATCGTTACGCTATGTTAGTATTGTGTATATCTATAATATAAAATAGGTCATACTTAAATAAGTTCATTCGACAGTCTCAAATAAATTCATCCAACGGCCACCAAAATTCTTCCTAAAATTATTCATTACACAGTGCCTTCGGACACCAATTATCCTTAATATATTATATGATTAGGTGGTTATGAGTTTTGGTAAGGTTTATTTACTGATTTGTTTACCTATTAATAGACCGTTACATCACATGACAATACTAACGTGATGTAACGGTTATACCCAAATTTTTCTCGCTCTCTCACTAGGATTTTCTAAAGTATCTGAATTCATTTTCAGTCAATTTTGATTTAAATAATTTATAAGTATTAATTAAAAATAATAAATAAAAAAAACTAAATCGTGTCAAGTTTTTATTTCAATAAAAAGTTAAAAAAAAAAAATATATATATATATATATATATATATATTTTGATATTATAACTAGAGATATACATTGAATGTAAAGATGGATAAAATCAAAAAAATCACCAACATGGCTGTCAATCTGCCAAAGAAATCACCAACTAAATACTAACGTGCACCCCTCCTTTTATGTTATTTTGAGCCCCCGACATCTGTATGAATGAAATGAAATTCCCTTTTAATAATAATTGGTGTCTAATTTAGAAGAGAATATTTGGTGTAATCGTTAAATAATGAGACAATATGTTAGCAAGTGGATCCCACAAAATTAAAATAGGATCCATTTATCCATATGTTATCTCATTATAGGACAATTACACTAATATTTTTCCTAATTTAGGAGCTTAATTTAAAGATCTACCTTATTTTAACCATGNAGAATATTTGGTGTAATCGTTAAATAATGACACAATGTGTTAGCAAGTGGATCCCACAAAATTAAAATATGATCCATTTATCCATATGTTATCTCATTATAGGACAATTACGCTAATATTTTTCCTAATTTAGGAGCTTAATTTAAAGATCTACCTTATTTTAACCATGTGTATACAATAAATTAAGTCTTTCAAACTAGGTTCTCAAATTAAATTTTAATAATACTGTGCTATTTAAACTTAAATTATTGTCAAACAAAAGTCATTGTTTATTCAACAGTAATAATTGATTTGGTCAATATTATATAATATTTTATAATCTATAATATAAAATAGACAAAATTCAATAAATTTATTCGACAGTCTCAAATAAACTCATCTAATGACCATCCATATCTCTCTTAAAATCATTTACATTGTATCGTGCGCACCGATTAGCCCTAGTACCCNCAGTAATAATTGATTTGGTCAATATTATATAATATTTTATAATCTATAATATAAAATAGGCAAAATTCAATAAATTTATTCGACAGTCTCAAATAAACTCATCTAATGGTCATCAATATCTCTCTTAAAATCATTTACATTGTATCGTGCGCACCGATTAGCCCTAGTACCCTTGTATGCGGCCGCCTACTAAGCTTTTCTTTAAAGTTTGTAATCTTTTAGCTCAGCAAGAGGAAATCTTATGCAAAGCATTGAAATGTAAGACTATCTTTTGGCAAACATGGGCCTAGAACATGTAATGAGCTCACGAAATGTAAAAGCGAAAGCAAAGTGGGTTTGCACTCCACTGTTTGAGCTCCTACTATATAAAAACCAATGCATTGCTCCCTCCTCGTACCATTGTGTGCTTCTCCCTCCTCTCTCTCTCTCTCTCTCTCTCTCCACTGTCATTGTTCTTCGCCAATGGAGTTGGGTAGCAGTATCCAGTTCTTAGAGAACAAGACCCTTTTAGTCACGGGTGCAACTGGCTTTCTCGCAAAGAGTATCTCTCTCTCTCTCTCTCTCTCTCTCTCTCTCTCTCTCTCTCTCTCTCTCTCTCTCTCTTGGTTTTCTTAATGAAGAGTTTATATAACATTGCTTCTGTGGGTGTAGTTTTTGTGGAGAAGATACTAAGGGTTCAACCAAATGTGAAGAAGCTCTATCTTCTTTTAAGAGCTGCGGATACAAACTCAGCCTTGCAACGCTTCAATAGTGAGGTGAGCCGTGAGCGAAAATAGAGCTGCCACCCACTGCTGTAGGCTGTAGGCTGTAGGCATATTCTGCCTTTTCTTTTCTTTCAACATTTCTTGGTAGGCAATATATCCAAATATTTATTTTATATATTTACCTAAATTCCACACCTTGCTTCATTTGTTTGCTTACTACACTGGATAATAGTTTAACTCTTTGTATTGATTGTACTTTTTGCCAAATCTGTTCGGAGGCGCTTATGTTGAATGTGCACCCCTCAGAGATTTGTTTACTTTTAATGTCTTTGTTGCATGTTCTAAGGGGGTATACCTTCTTCTTTTGTATATCATTGCTACACATCAATGGAATGTTTATTTTTTTTGAAAAATTTTGTTTTGATTCATTATTTCAATCATCTAAGAAGCAAAAATGTTTTAAAAGTATTTCGAAAATAGAATAAAAAAAAAAAGAAAAATGTAAAAATTTATTTCCGAAACATTCCAATACACTTCGAAACATAGGAATTTAGATATTTAATCACTAATTCATTTTAGTTTCTACAGAAATAGAAACATTTNGAAAAATTTTGTTTTGATTTATTATTTCAATCATCTAAGAAGCAAAAATGTTTTAAAAGTATTTCGAAAATAGAATAAAAAAAATGTAAAAATTTATTTCCGAAACATTCCAATACACTTCCAAACATCGGAATTTAGATATTTAATCACTAATTCATTTTAGTTTCTACAGAAATAGAAACATTTTGACTGTTTTAAAATGAAATTTGATCCTTGACATGGGTTGCAAATCTTAGTAATTTGCATTTTTTGATTACCATCATTTCTTTACAAAATTTAGAATATGATTGATATACCACCATGTATGACATTGTTTTCCTTTTAATCATATAGGTTTTAGCAAAAGACCTGTTTAGGGTCTTAAAAGAGAAATNTGTAATTTGCATTTTTTGATTACCATCATTTCTTTACAAAATTTTGAATATGATTGATATACCACCATGTATGACATTGTTATCCTTTTAATCATATAGGTTTTAGCAAAAGACCTGTTTAGGGTCTTAAAAGAGAAATGTGGTACAAATCTCAGCACGTTTATCTCAAGAAAAGTCACTGTGGTCCCTGGTGACATCACTTGTGAGAATTTGGGAATAAACGACCACAATTCACTGGAAGAGATGTGGAGAGAAGTAGATATTGTGGTTAATCTAGCTGCAACAACCAACTTTGAGGAAAGGTATGACTTACGTTTGTCTAAATTTGCAAGTAATTACATTTAAAGTTATTGAGATTTGTCCTTTAACCTAATGAACCCATTGAGTTATGAAAAATAATATTATCATTCAAGTCTACCCTCTTATAATACAAGAGGTCTCAGGTTCAACACTTTTTATATCCCTTAAAAGTCAGCCCCTCCATCATATTTCAGCATGGTAGTTTGAACAAGGTCGAATTGTTGAGACTAGATCCAAGTTCAATACAGTAATTGGTACAAGTCTGATTACCGACAAAAGTTAAAAAAAAAAAAAACTATAAAACAACCATTTTTATCCTTTCCCAAAAAAACTCACACTACACTATGATCCCAAGCCCTCCATTCNAGTGGAGAACACATACACCATGGGTGAGGCACTTAATGGGACAGTTGGATTAGACATTGATGAAGAGAAGAAAGTGGTGGAGGAAAGACTGACGGAGCTTCGCGGTGAAAAAGCTTTGGAGCGAACAATTACATCGGCCATGAAGGCTCTTGGAATCCAAAGGTCGGACTCTAGGCTTGTTTTTGGATCCTATCACCTTAGTTTAGAAGTAGTGTCTGATGGGAATTTAGTCAACTTACATTATCTAGGAGAAGAAAACATTTAGAGAAAGAGTGACACCATGTTATCACCGTCACATAATATCATCAATCAATTATAAATAAACATGTAGACTTAGTGTATACGGTCAAATTTTATAACTATCAATAACTTCCACATTTAATTAACACCATGTAGAATTTGTGAAGTTCACTTCGGCCTACTTATTTATTTATAATTGATTGGTGTCACCGTTATAAATTGAATACTTTGAATCATATAATCTTTTTGGTGAGGTCAAACTTTCAAATATTAAGTGTTTCTCCAAAGTCCTTAGCTTTATAAATCATACCCAGTGTTGGAATTACTGTTGTTTAGAATAATTTGGATATCACTTGCAGGGAAATAATACTTGGGATGACTCAATGGTTATGTACATTATACTTATGTGCACAGACCAAAAAATACATATGCCCACAGACTAAAAAACTAAATAGATGTATTATTATCTATCTATCTCATAATTGATTTGATATTCAACAGTATTTATACAAAACAAATATTGTCACACAAAACTATTTCGATACTACTAGATTTTTATCTTTCGTATCAGGTCTCTAATAAACTTATTCATGTTGTATTAAAACTCTTTCAATTCTTTACCTGTTTAATTTGGGGGTTTTACATGTGATTACCCATAAAACTCGCTTCGTGTGTGAACAATAACGAGTTAGCTCTCCCTTGATTCTGATCTACTATTCTCTACAAGCATCATGTGCAAATCACTCTCATGAGTCCTCACAATCTTCTCTATTTTCAAGAGTCTGTGTCTCAATCTGCATCTTTTATGTGTCTTGGTCCACATCTTACCTAATCTTGGGATGACTCAATGGTTAAGGTTTCACCATTCTATCAAGATAAAGACCAGTGACCTCTACGCGTGCTTCCAAGATATAAACCAATACTTGGTGGATGTTGGCCTAGTAGCTCACAAACCATTGTATAGCATAGCTCAAACTCCATAAGCATAATTTTCAAAAAAAACCATCTTAAATGCTGGCACGCTATATTGCTTGAAGTATTATGCGAAAAGAAAATCATCATCCATGGATCAACGATAATCAACAACTTGTTCTGACGAGTTGACCCAGGATTGCCAATAGCTATCTCTGATACCCCATGTTCTAACTCTTTTTGTCTAGAATAATTTTGATTCAACTTTTAGGGAGATAGGAAAGATAAGGAAACAAATTACAGAGATCTAAATGGTTCAGCACACCGCATTTAGGTCCACGGACCAAAAAAATACAATACTTAACCATATTTATAGAAATAAAATATTATCACTCAAAACTATTCATATAATACGAGATCACTAATTTTCTTTTCAGCTTTCAAATAAACATATCCACATTATATAGAACTATGTGATTTGTGCTTCTCACATGTCACTACAAACAAACGGATTACCCTAGTGTTATTTGTGACATTAAGCTCTCTCTCTCTCTCTCTCTCTCTCTCTCTCTCTCTCTCTCTCTCTCTCTCTCTCTCTCTCTCAGAGCAAGGAAGTATGGATGGCCAAATACCTATGTATTTACAAAAGCAATGGGAGAGATGCTCGTAGGGCACCTCAAAGAAAACATACCAGTAGTTATCATTCGTCCTACCATCGTAACCAGTACCTACAAAGAGCCATTTCCTGGTTGGGTTGAAGGGATCAGGTAATTCATAGAAATCCTTCTTTGATATTTATGGTGTAACCAAGCAGAAGCTTTTTAAGCAAACAACAGTATGAGATCAATGTTATCTTCTTATATAGCTAACTAAAAAAATAGTCAAAGTGATCATCTTTTGTGTTCACTGTTCACAGAACCGTCGATAGCTTTATTGTTGGATATGGCAAAGGAAGAATAAGGTGCTTCTTTGGTCATCCTGAAACTGTACTTGATGCGGTGAGTTCCCTCATTTTTCTTACTCAATAATAATCCTCTGTGGTGCAACTCATATCGTGTACAAACAGATGATGAATATTCTTAACCTTCATGAAGGTGATTCAAAAATTTTGTTCATTGATGCCATTCTTCTCCTTTTATCATGTTAAGCTTTCGCATTTTTAACACCACCATGACTATATAAAAAAAATAACTTGACATTTGTAACATTTGGTTTTCAACAACAACAAATATTTGATGTCAAATGTTCACAATTAGTTACGAATTGTTGTGTTGTTTATAATGGCAAATGGCCATTGATAAAAGTCAATTTTGTGTGACAAAACGAATTGTTGCTGAATGTCAACTTTTAGCCACGAAATGGTATTATCACAAAAAGTTAATTATTTAAGTCGAATTTGAAAATTCATCGCTATAAACTTTTTGTGATTCTTGTATTTTTGGTTTTATTTTGTGATAGGAAAACTTGTAGTGATCAAAATATTATTTTTAACGACGAATCTTTTGGTTGCTAAAAAACTAAATTTTCTTATGATGTGCTCCCGTGCACATATGCATACATCGGTGTCGGTAAGGTTCTCACATAATGTCCTCTTAGGTAGTCCAAGTATGAAGTCTAATTCAGAGATTGCATGTGCAGATTCCAGCAGACATGGTGGTGAATAATATGATAGTTTCCATGGTGGCCCATGCAAATCAATCTTCTATGAACATTTATCATGTTGGTTCTTCGTCAACAAACCCCGTGGTGCTTCGTAATATTCAAGATTATG